TTCTCTTCGTCTCTTTTTCTCCTCCCTGAACACCACGACCGTCATACTGACGAGGTGCAGTCGTGGTATTGAGCTAAGACGTATATCACTTAATGGACCGAAACGTCATAACTCACTATTTTCATATTCATTCATACTTAGTTCGTTCCATACTTTCGCCCCTCCCCCTCCCCCCAATCTCTTGGCATCTATTCGTATGTTACAATCAGCTTAACGTAGTCGACTGCGACTCAAGCATGCAAGCAGGCAGATGAATCATCTGATAAATTTAACTGCCTCTGGCGTCGTTTTTCAATAGTTACCCGAGAAGCAAGATGAAGACAATGCGGGGTTTTTGTGCGTTCAAACAAATCAATTCGGTCTACCAACCGGAATTATTTAGAGCATTCTCTCAAAAAGACTGGCGATGAGTTCTAGACTAGAGATTAGGAGCAGCGCTATGGCTTCGCACTGTACTAATCCAAGAGAGTTATGCATTCAGTTAAACAAAATGGCAACTAAAAGCTTTCAACTGATCGACTGAGAAACTGTGTGCCCATCAAAAAACTAAATGAAATGAGTCAAAAACAGACACCATGAGTTTCCGGACATATCATTTGTGGATACTGCGGCATATCACCCAAATCAATGAATTCGCCCTGTTCACTGATACATCGCGAAGGAGCAAGTTGGCCGGCACGAAGCTCAATCACATCACCTTCCACCAAAAGCAAGCACGGCACATTAACCAGCTGAAATTTGCTTCTTCAGTTCACCTCACAAGGCACTCATTATATTGCGTTCCAGTTGGCTAGCTCCATATTCCAGAGTAGTTTTGTCAAAGCTTTCTCGCGGACGATTGGGATCTGATTGGAGTAGTAGATTGGCGGAAACCCATAGCGCCGACAGAAGAAGTAGAGGTTCCGCGCTACGCTGTTGTGTATTTTCACATATAGACTAGACACGGGTACCTGCCCCTGTATCATCCAATAACCAGCAATTCTGGGTTGATTTTTCCCAGGTTATACATTTTTGCGCGGCTAAATTCTGGACAGTTTAGCACCGGATTATTTTTAGATTGCCTTTGTGCCGCCTGTTTTTCACTTTCATTCATCTCTGACTTAATTCTAAAATATTCGAATTAACTTAAAATTGGGAAATTATTCGATTATTTCGAAAATGCATGACGCAATTTGAAACAAAAACATTAGTGCCATTACATCAGCCTTCTGTAAATGCACTTTTTGCCGAGCAAATACTTATCGACATTGAGAAATAAATCACTCCAACCACCAATACCCACTTTTGGAGATAAGAGTGTTAACTTCCTTAAAGATTTACACCCCAAAGCTCAACTGAAGGGCGCTTCTAATAAAGCATACCGAATTATCTGTGACATGTCCTGACAGTCAATGAATCATTTTTTTTTTAATGAACTAATGAGGAGGGAAAAGGTTCCAAGAAGCCGATATGTTTTACGGATCATCAATATTAAACCCTTTTAAGCCACCCCTCTGTTAATCATGCCGCTAACAAGTATTCAGTGATCGAAGCTTTTACTAAAGGAGCAGAAAATCCATGTTTGCATCTCCCCGTATACTTCTGTCCTATTTTTTATCAAACTCTCCCTTCCTCTTCCTTCTCTTTCTTGGCATTTCCTGGTACATTTCCAAAGCATAAATTCTGCATACAATTTAAAAAAAAAACTGTGAAGAAATCCTAAAAAAAAATTCAGAAGAAATCTCATAGGGTAAAACCTTCTGATCCCTGTATGTGTACTGTAACGAGATTGCATCGGAGGTCGGCGCACAGAGATGCTCGTAATCATACTCCTCTTGGCTCGCCAACTTCAACGAATTTAATATATTTGTTGCCTTGTTAACGGCCGCAAATCGTTGCATGTGGTACACTCGCGATGACAGATAAATATTACTCAGCGTCACAGCTAGGAACAAAAGTGATGCAGTGATGTGTAGCAGCGCACATTCCCTAAATTACATCATTAGCCTCAATTGCAATATGATACCTTTTACTAGCCAATTCAAGAACATCACACCTATCAGATTCCTCTGTAAAATAAGAGTACTTCATTCACCATCTTTGCCCATATCACTATTATTAGCTTTATTTACAGTAAAATGAGTAAACCTCTGCTACAACTATCTACTTCTAAGCCCCAGAGATCTTCCCAACAGAAACTTCTGCATCCAATAAAAAAAAAAAACTGCAAGATGAGGCAAAAGCTCCAACAAACAGTTAGTCCCACCCTCATGCTAGCATAACTACAATGCTAGCATAACTACAATCCAGATGGCGCTGGATCAAAAACTGCTTCTGGAAATCAACTTGTCTATCCGTGATTATCTCTGATGACTGTTTGAGAGAATGCAGTGATTAAAACCATCCCTCAGCAAAGGAAATGAATTGAATTAAATAAATGAATGAACCGAATCAAATAAATAAATTAATAAACAAAAATAAGATGCAAATATTAAAGTAAAATAAATCAAAGTAAATAAAAGGTAAAATAAAAAGAGACAAAAAGTAAACAAACAAACGAATCGAATTCAACAACTGGGGACCGTAGTATTGTTCTGTGTTAGTGAATTCGATTCGTTTCGAAAATGTTCGTCACTGGTCGAAAAAGAAATCCTGGATTATGTTTCTTACAGTTAGTGACAACTATAGCTTCGAAATCTTAGATGACAAAATAGGTTTCCACCGTATTTGAAGCCAAAAACTAGACTGATGTCAGAACGTGACAAGCAGTCCCAAGCCTTCAAATCTGATCTCAAACTTTTTGGTTTGTTGATATGTTTGTTGTAAGTTACAAAATCTGCTCATATCCAGCTCTAAAGATGGTGTGAGATTGATAATCTTCAACAAAGCCTCCAGAACTGCACCTCTCACTGTAGAAATGATTTCTGTAGCAGTGAAATGGAACTGTCTGGGTAGACAGCAAAAAAAGGATATAAAAAAAGCATAAAAATGGCAAACCTGGAGAGGGAGTCGAAAATCAGTATGCCAGAACAAATACATAAAGCGATGGCAAATGTAAGGCAGAAACTCCCTGTTGTGAGCGCATCATGTGCCAGAAACCTATCGAGAACAATGCTTTTACGTTAAAGCATGAAAAAATAAGGCCATTTTAATAAACTTTCCCTTTAAACCCAAAATCTTCGAAACCAATTGAAATTTTTAATGACTGGGAAGAGCCAAAATCCTCGAAAAAAGTCCAGATGTCCAGTGAGGAAGAACAGTCGAACAAACCTGAGTGCAAATCGTCCAACAGAAAGACGTTCACGCTCTTTGGCAATTTCGGATTCAAGCGTGCTGCATAATCGTGAGAATGCTTCGCTGGTACTCAAACCAAGCTCAGTCTCCATTGTATTTCGCACAGTTACATCCGGAACTTTGGTCCCTTCATGCTGCTGGCTCAAATTTAAATAAATTATAAGTGCAGAACCACGCAATTATCATTTTTGATAATGATTTTGCGACTTAAAAACTGGTCCCGTGACTGATATAAACGATTAAATAATAATATTGTAATATTATCGATGATTTAAAATAAATTGTCAAACATAATACGAATATCTGCATTAATTATGGAAATGAGTGATAAAAATCAATGTAAGAATCGTGATAAATAATAGCGAAAAATATAACAGTAACAGATGAAATAATATAGTACAGCAGCACCCAAACAAATTTTAATTTAATGCCTGACAGGGAATGTTTCGGTCCATTAAGTCGTATACGCGTACATACTGTTCTCGGCACTGAATGAAGGACAGTGCTAAACCTGCAGTAGCACACAGTTCGAGGAAGATAGTATGCACA